TGTACATATTGAACAGCTCAACTTCATTGAGCACGGCATCATTCTGAGTGAATTTGCTGTTGATATTGTCAGCTCATGCCGGATAATATATATAATATAAGATGGTATTCGACATGTGAAATGGAAACATACCATTTTAATTACTGATGAATAAGGAATCAGTAATTCCAGCTAATAAAAAACACATAAGTAAGCAGCATGGAAGAATCAGCTGGTGGTTTTTAGTGGCTGATCCAGAGCTATTCAACACACAGCCTCTCTTTCCTGATTCTTATCCAAACCTTATCTGGAAAAACTAAATGGCCTCAGTAATTAAATTCAGAAATTAATTTTCACAACTGCCACCAGGCTCCAGCCTAAGGGACGCATATACTTTTCTCCCTGGATCAACGGAATGAAAACAAACTAAGACAAAAAGTAAAAGAAAAAAAGGCTAAAAAGTAATTAGTGTGTGGTGGTGTATGTCTCAGGCCTTTTTCAATTGATTGCAGCATTGATCTGGTCAAATTAGAGTTGTTGTAGAGCCCAAATGTGATTGCAAAAGGCAACTTGCCTGCCGTTGCTTGCCTGCTGGGCTTTATGCATCCTCTGGGTGATCCGTCCTGAACTCTCTCCACTCTCCCTCGCACACACTCACATACACAGTCGCTCACGCACCAGACGCCTACGAGCATCTGCTTGAAAGCGTTGGAGAGTAGTGTTTGTTGAAGTTAGGTTGATTTAAGTGTCAAGTAGTATTAACCCCAAAATTCCCCCTGAAAAATGTGTCATGGCAGTGAACCATTATTTCTGAATGTGTATTTATCAAATGTACATTATGCTTGGTGCAATAGTTGAAATGGAAGATCATGGTCAGCTTTTATTCTTTGCAGGAAACTACTGCTGTTCTTTTCTCTTGTTTACCATTTCATTATTATAAATCTTCACTTTTCTTAGTTTTCATTTTATGGGAGGGTCATACACTGGATATTTGTCTGAGCAGTCCTGTCGGAACTCACAGTCACACATTCTGTGTATTTGGACTCTGTAGGACAAGAGCAGATGAAAAAATTCATACATGAGGCACTGCAGATATGTATTATGGTGTTGACTTCCACTTAAAGAAACTAAGTAAGTGCAAACAAGATGGCCGCAACCAACAATTGTTTCTGACAAAACAATCTCACCCTATAGCAGCTGTCTTGGTGCATTTGATCACAGAGCTCACCATCTTTTTATGATGACAGTTTTCCCAGTTGCCATTGTCTGAGGAGGACAGTGTGAGGAGGACGCTCCACTCAGATTATTTTGTGAACTAAAACTTCTTTGTTCTTGTGATTAATACAGTCTCTTTAAAAATCAGAACAGAATACTAATAAGAATGTCCCCAGACCCCCGGGGCACTATAATCCTTGAGCCGCATTTTTCTGTCTGAACTGGACAGACATTCAAATGTATATCCAAACTACCTCGATGCAGTTAATTTAGGCTGCACTGAGTTTGTGTTTGACACACAGAGAAGTTTTCCCTGATTAGCCCAACCAATATGAACGACCTGACACAGAATATCTACTTCTAATGTACTAATGTTTTTGGCCTGTTGGCCTGTTTATTGTAGTTGGGTTATGTTTAAATTTGTTTACAGTTTAGCACTTGTTTTTTAATTTGACAGTTAATAAGTTACATTTTGAATTCCAAAAAAAAGCCAGATATTTAATTTGCAATATTAAAAAATTTAAAAAAGGGACAAAACAGCAAATGTTGGACCCTGAACACATTCACACTTAAATTATGTATTTCTAGTTTGACAAACTTCCCGTTGTTGTAGTAGCTCAGCAATATGAAAATCATAGATGCTGGGAGTTTTTTCGTCATATCACAGAGCCGATTCCAGGCCAACATCAGCTGCTGTAATCATAAGCCAGCTCTGTTTAAATGCATCATGATTACTCTGTCTGCATCTGTAATGCAAAAGTAGACTCAATTTGGGAAGTCAGGACAAAGAGTGTGAAAGAGTTATGCATGATTTCAACTGCACTGACAGCATCTATAATTTTGCTAATTGCCGTCAGAAATGCACACGGAAGCCTCAGATTGTTCTGGTTTGTAGGTGAGATAAATACAAGCAATTATCTAATGCTCTTTTCAAAAAGCCTCCTTAGACCACAAGTGGAAGCTGTTTGATCAATGCACCCTCTGAGAGAAACTGCATAATAAAGAACCACAGCGCAGCATCTCTCCTCACCTGACTTGTGTATCGATCTGCAGAGAAGTGTGCGGCTTGCAGAGCGGGAGCTGGAATTACTCAAATGCTGCAGCAGCGCTCGGCGAACGGAGCAAAAACGAGCGACATGACACTGATCGTCCCGGGCAGAGCTAGTCCAACAGTTGCTGAGGCAGAAAGACAGCAGTGACAGAACATGATCGCAGTGTTCAACTTCTAATGAGAGTACCTTGTTTTCAGTGAAAAACAAATAGACCTCTTCGCCAGGGCCGAGCGACAGATGGATACAGTGCAAGTCTGTGAGCTGCTTTTCAATGCACACATGTGAAGAGGCAATGTATAAAGGACATAAGAATGAGCTATAGTTTATTATTAACCTTGAGATCAACATGCTAAAAGGTGCATGCACGCGCACACGCACAGAAGATAGTGATTGGTTCAGGAGTCTCTCTTAAGACTCTCTTGTTAAAGCTTTTGTATAGAGGGGACAATGCCCACAATTACTTGCATTTTCCCTACTTCCTTTTCCTATAGAGAGAGAGAGAGAGAGCGAGAGAGAGAGAGAGATGGAGAGTTTAATTTGGAGGTGCAATTCAAAATTAAATCAGTAAAAATGCTTCTCTTGTACATTGCTCAGAAAAAAGCTGGAATATTGTGGCATTTTGTGGTTGGTAACAATCCATATCTTATTTTCAGACATTTGTTGTTTGAGTTCAGTTGTTCGCTGTGCCTTTTTCTTACCTGCATGAGTTAATATTTTGTTATTCATTTATTTTTATTTCAAACATGTTTGAAAAAGATAACATGACCTTAAAAAAAACCTAACATAGAAACATCACTTAAATATTTAAGGTACACCCTGTCCCTGGTCCCGTGGTTTAAGAGTCAGCAATAGACAGCAGAGACCCTTAATATCTGATTAGGGTTCAGCCGCCGTGAGTGTGCTCCAGGTTAGTGATGCAGACCAGTGGCCAACACCACCAAGAAAATGTGTGTTGTGTTCACCCACTCCTGTGTACTGTATATTAGTTTACTGTGGGAAACATGCCACAGGAAAAAGTCTCTCTCTCCGTCTCTCTTGCTCTCTCTCTCTCTCTCACACATGCACACACACACACACACACACTGACTGATTAACACCTGGGGCTCATGATGAGAGCAATCGACAAGCTGGTTTAACAGGAAACTGTTGATGCTGAGCTCACTGAGGTTATGTGTCTCATTAAAACATAAGGGATTTAACATAGACAGAATCCTCGGTACATGCAGTCTGCTCACTGTGTTGAAAACCCGAGTCAGATGTGTCTCAGTATTCTGCACCTACTGTGGAATCACCGCTGAGAGAAAGCACTTACTTTTGGTGAAAGTCACAGTTTGTCCTCTTGTGGCTGCAGTTGTAAACATTTGATGAAATTCTCTTCGGTCACAGTGTGTATCACAACCACTGGTCCAGCCATCGCCCAGCACACTGAACAGTCAGCACGTCATGTCAGAGTCAAGAGCAAACCTCAGGCTAACATGGCCAAAGTTATGAGTTTTGATCATCTGGGGTGTTGTCTCACAAGGTCTATGATGCCCGCCATCGTAGAGCTGATGCATTTTACAGCAGTATCTTTTTTTCCCCACCTTGCAGTTTCTCCAGCCTGGTTTGTGTCTGCTCGCTTTAGTTGGATTCAAACGTCAAAGAGCCACTGAATAACTATATTGGAAATGACACTAATAAGGTTATTAAATAGAGTGAGGAAAATGCGCTGATACATTTGTTTGGTCTGTAAATTTACGTTACCATACAAGCATCATTGTTCTGAAGCACTGAACTCATGGTTCAATGTGAATTTGATGGAAGTGATTTAAAACTGACAAATATTTGTTTCAGATGTGTATGTTTTACCTCCAGAGCTGCCTCTCAGAACACGTCCTTTTGAATTTAAGGACTTCCAGGTGAGATGTTGATAGTTTCTATTTTTTTATTTTAGATATCGAACGTTCGTCTCAGAGGACGCGGGCCCCAACACACTTGTTGCCACGGTGCTGGCGAAGGACCCTGATGGGGACGGAATCACGTACAAGATCGCCTCGGGAAATGAGGAAGGCAACTTTGTCATTGACAGCCAAAAAGGTTAGAAATACTGCATTGATTCTGTCTTTTTGCCTCGTTCTTCTTTTCAACAAGTTCTCCTGTAGGTGATATTTTTTCTTTCTTCACAACCTCAAGACATCGCTGTAGAATATGACTGTGTAAGGACTAAAGATATGACTAAACAGCTCCACCCACAGTCGCACACTGTAGACACTTTCATCGATACATACTAAAGACACACGTCTCACCTATGTCGTATTGCTTGATGAATTATTTTTACCTCAAGGCTTAAACTTTTGTACTTTATTCTTTCAGGAAACTGTTATTATGGTGCAATATCACCTATATGAATTTAGCACAATCACTGAAATAACCACAAAGATTGTTTACTTTCCACAGTTATTTTCACCCTGCTTTGCTGTCTGCTATATTTACGTACAGCGTATAACTGGAAAAGCCTTGCAGTTTGTCAAGCGTGCCTTCGAGAGTCTTGAAAATATGCCTCATATAACGTGCATGGTTCAGTTTTATGTCCTCCACCGTATCCGCAGCTCTGTGGACGAGACAGGCTCGTACTCTCTTACTATGAGAACACTTGGTCAAAGATATTTAAATCCTGACAGCTCGAGTCATAGAGACGTTAGAGTAATGAGCCAAAGTGTGAGGGGCATTTCCACAGTATCTTTGTAAGGAAATACTATTTGAGCGTCATAGTCACAGATCTCAATAATCTGGATTAATAATTCAGTGTGTGTGTGTGTGCAGGCAGGAAGTGGGGGTATGGTGGCAGTTTCATAGCGGTTCGACCCTTTTGTAAATTGCAGACCCCTCTGAATCTGCATATCGCATTATAGGGTAATAAGATGACTTTTACAAATTCAATTACTCAAAACTTCAAGGCACAATTTCCTCTGCTCACCAGCAATGACATTCAATGTCAGCTGATAGGGCCGATCATTTTATCGAGCAGGGGGACAACTCGTAGCTCATAACTCCATTCCGTCGACTATCAGATGACAAGCGCAGGCGTGCATTGCCATTTATATTGTTCGGCTCCTGTTTGCAATTAGTCACATCGGCCAAATTTCGGCCTGCCATTCGTCACAAAAGGTCGACTATGTTACTCATTTGGTTCCTTTGACCAACAAAGTTTGTATCATGAACCTTGTTCATGCAAATTTAAATATCTGTCTGGAGAGTGGCCACCTTCTCATTTGCCTGCTGAGTTTGTATTTATTACTATATGTATGAGCTATATTGCTGCAGTTTGGATGCTGTCATGTATTTACTTTAATGGTGTTTGGGACTGATTCAAAATAGAGAATATTTTGGAGGCTGGAACCAGCCGATTGACCAGTCATAGCAGGAACAGGTCTCACTAATACCATTAACAAGGGCTCCCTTATCTCCAAGTGTCCCAGTTAGTCAGTTCAATGTGACAGTGAGCTAGCATGAACAATACCAGTTCAATTTTACTATTGACACATGAGCTCTTCCTATTGTCAACATGTCAAAATATCCCCAGAGGAAAAGGTTTGGAATTGTCACTTGATAAATGTCCTGAAGCTCCTGAATGCACCAGAGCAGGTTCTGTTGGGGAGATTTTGCCTCACAATTCTGAAAAGATGTTAAATCAGGCACAATATGGAGGAACATGAGCGTGGGTGTAAAAAATGTGTGCAGGACATTTAAAGGACTGGTGTGGTGACATGCATCTCATTTTAAAAGATGAGAGCAAAACCAACAAGGAAATGTGTTTACTGTGAATCATTAGTCGGTTATACAATATCTTATCCCTATTTGCCAGGTGGGTTGATGGTCTGTATTTATACAGAGCTTTTCTAGTCTTGATGACCACTCAAAGCTCTTCACAGTACTGTCTTTTGCCATTCATCCATTCACGCACACATTCATACAGTGCATCTATCTATCATCTATCTACAGTGCAGGGGCAGTTTTGGGTTCAGTATCTTTCCCAAGGACACTTCGGCATACAGATAGGGAAGACTGGGATCGAACCTCCTACCTTCTGGTCAGATGGCCACCGCTCTACCCCTAGGGCTTAAATTGTTTTCCAAAAAATAATTTATACTTCAGTGAACCACTGGGCGATGTGTATGATCATTACCATACCACACCATTACCATGTTGGTCGTTTGTATACTGTCCCGCTGCCCTAAATACTAACTACTGCAACCAAATGTGTCTTTTTTGTGATAGTGAAAATGGTTCCTAACAAACCAATATTATAAGTGTCAGGATTTGCTGCTTTTTCTTTTTAATCCTATAAATAATGTTTGGTTTTACAGAAGTTGTTTGAAGAACAAGAAATCTGGAGAAGTAACCTTGGGCTCTGGGAACCTTGTGATATGCCATTGTCCCATTTTAATGAACTGCCAAGTCATTTATTTGAAAAAAAAAAATGTGACCAGGAAAACATGTTCCCAAGGACACGTTTTCATACAGACAGGAGCTGGGGATCAAACTGCCAACCTGGCAATGAGCCCACTCCACCCAATGAGCCACAGCTGATAGAAACAGGTAAAGGGTTTTAATCTGTCCAATATGTCTACAGATACAGTCACTAAATGGTATATAGTACACAGAAAAGGTTTGGATCAGCTGCTGCTCTGCCTTCCAATGCATTCCAAGCTTGGCACTCTTCATCAAGAACTTGCTCTATGTAGAGGTTTATTTATAAATCGAGAAAAGGCAGGAAACAATGCACCATTCTGTCAAAGCATTTATACTAAACAATGATGATAATCAGTGGTGGCTGGTGATAAAATGTATTTGAGGGGAGTGAAGTGTTGGGGAGACAAACAAACCTTAGCCACACTCAACAAAAACAACACAACTCACAACATGTCAATCCTGTAGCCTTCATCAAGCCGCTGAGCAATGCTAAGCCTGCCGCAAAAATCTAGCCTCATTGTGTCTAAGTGACAGTGGCAACTTGTTTGTATTTTTCAGAGAGATGTTTTAGGTCTCGCACCCCCGTCATTGTCCACAGTACCACTTTGAAACAGCAAACAGGTGAAGCAGTAAACTGCATTACTTACCACATCTAGTTAGTCACCTCTGTTTCTCATAAAAGAAACAGTGCAGGGGCAATTTTGCCCCAGATTTGTTGTAGTTCCCCTTAAGGTCTCCATATCTATGCCAGTCAGTGCACAGCGGAAGTAACTCAGTATGTACCTGAGACAGTGTGCCAATCACATTAGATAAATATAACGTAAACCAATAACCATTGGCTGTAAATAAAAGTGGGGTTGTCTGTAATGCAAAGAGCTGTGTCCCCTGGAAAATCTGTAACAACCAATTAAAGAGCAGCCTCAGGTCCTGTGGTTGTCCAAAGTTTAATGACTTACATTTACATTCATTCTGCCGGTGTCCCACACCTGGAAGTATTATGTATATAGACAGAAAAAATTGACCAAATTCAAATACATCAAAAACTACTTATTTTGAATGCTCACAAGTGCTTACGGCCTACCAGGAACATTGTACAGATACAATTATTATATGAGTAAATAATGTTTAACATGTTTATATAGGTTTTTTTCTCAGGATGTTGGAGAGAATATTGATGATAACACAAAACTGTCTGCGGTTCTTTATCAGCAATGCTGCTGATAAAGAATATGAACAGCCCTATAGCTAAGTGTCATATTAAACACTAGAAAACAATTTAAAACATTGTAGGAAATGCCACAAAAGATGCAGAGAGGAGTAAATAATATAGATGCTGCCTGAGGAACAGCGTCAAGTTGGAAACATGTAGCTGCCGATCCAAGACCTTTCTGTGCTATGCTCTACATGGCATGTAGCCTGTATCTGTGGACATATTGAACATATTATACCTATACTTTACCTTGATTGCAACTTGTCTTTCCCTCCTCCCTTTGTCTGAGTACTAATTAGTGACTTTGACAATCCCTTCTGTCCACTGTTTTCTGGATTCCTGAAAACTAATATACCTCTATTTTGGGGGGGAAAAGTACTTTTCAAGCTTGATGTCCTCTGTGGAAAAATGTGGGACCGGGCTCGATAGTCATAGACTGGCCAGCAAAGTTGGAAAGTAGCCTGCTAAGAGAAAGGCTGATGCTTACTTTACATTTGTAGATCCATCCATCCATATATTGCTTATCCTCTTGAGAATCGCCACTCAATCACAGGATGGACAAGATTTATTCATTCATATCATGTTTAACTGATTAAACATTTCAGTTGGAAAGTACAATTCCACTGTGTCTGTCCCAATAAAGACAGGATTTATCAAGATACATGCAAGAAAGAGGAGACGAGAAACAAGATAACTGTCCTGCTTGCCCCATCCTCCTCTTTGTCACTATTACAGTACATGTCTTTAATAAGCAGAGTGTGACAATCAGTCATATTCACACAGGCACACTCACGCACACACAGACAGAAGTGAGCCTAAAATAGAATCACACAAAGGCTTCACGATTTTAGCGCATGTGAGCCAAAGTGTGACAGCACGCAACGCTTGTAATATGATCCAATATATTGTTTCAGAGAGCCCAATATTTGGTCATTAAAAGTATTTTATGATTCTTATAATGGAAGGTGAGCACATTTGATTCCGCCCACCCTCTCTAAACCATCTCATTCTCCCGCTGCTACTGATGAAAATCGTTTATTGCCTGTCGCACCACCACCAGCCCATTCCCCCATTCTAAATGTCTGACAATCATCAGAGCGATTGTTTTCCTCCCCTCCAGCAGGAGCAGCCCTGCCGTCCTCCCTCTCCATGTTAATTTGACTGTAAGTCACCCTGGAATACAGTGTGTTTCTCTAAGATTTAGAGCGACCATTAGGAGCCATGCAGGCCGGTCAATATGATGATCACACTCTTCCTATTAAAACCCATAAATACCAAAACACCCACTCCGTCGGAGGAGAGGAAGGATTTCCTGACAGCTAAGGGGAAATGCTAGTGCCAATAAACTGGCTTCAATCATTTATTTTTCTTCCCGTATATTTTTCTTCCCACATATAAGTTTCACAGCATTTTG